CCCCCCCCCCCCCATTGAGAAGGCAAGCAACTCAATACAGGTTATACATGTGTAGTCATGCAAAACACTTCCATGGTAGTCATGTTGTGAAAAACTAAGTATATTTCCCATAATCCTATCCTGCCTCCCGTTTGTTCAATTCTCTCCTTTGACCCTGCCCCTTCTTAGAAGTGTATGCTTCTGATTACCCCCTCCCCCAGTCTGCCCTCCCCTCTATCATCCTCCTGCTCTCTTGTCCCCTTCCCCCCATATTTTCCTGTAGGGTAACATACGCAATTGAGTATGTATGTTATTTTCTCCTTAATAGGCTGGCTTTATTAAGAATAAGTCACATCCAACATTGATTAGAGAAATGCAAAGTAAAACAACCCTGAGATACACACCTATCAGATTGGCTAATCTAACAGAAAAAGGAACTGACAAACACTGAAGGGGATGTGAGAAAATTGGGACACTAATTCACTGTTGGAGTTGTGAACTGATCCAACAATTATGTATTGTAATTTTGTTGGTTTTTTTTGTTTGTTTGTTTTGCTGTTGTTTTTTTCTGTATTGCAATTTTGAACTATACCCAAAAGGCTATAGGCTGTACATATCCTTTGACCCAGTAATGCCACTACTAGATCTATATCCCAAAGAGATCAAAGAAAAAGGAAAAGGATCTATGTGTACAAAAAAATTTATAGCAGCTTTTTTTGTGGTGGCAAAGAATTGGAAATTGAGGAGATGCCCATCATTTGGGGAATGACTGAATAAGTTGTGGGGTGTGCTTATAATGGTATACTATTGTGCTGTAAAAAGTGATGAGCAGGATGCTCTCAGAAAAAACCTGGAGAGACTTATATGAACTCATGCAATGTGAAATGAGCAGAACCAGAAGACCATGTTATACAACAATAGCAATATGATGATCAGCTGTAAATGACTTTGCTATTCTCAGCAATACAATGATCCAAAACTCTTAAAAAACACTTATGAAAATGCTATCCACCTCCAGAGAAAGAACTAATGGAGTCTGAATGCAGATTGAAGCATACTTTTAAAAATTATCTTTACTACTCTTTTTTTCTTGATCTGTATTTTCTTTTGCAACATCGTTAATATGGAAAAGTTTTACATAAATGCACATGTATAATCTATATGAAATTGTTCTCAAGGAGGGGGGAGAAGAGGAAAGGAGGGAAAGAACTTGTAACTCAAAATGTAAAAAAAA